GGTCTAGGCCCGAAACGTCAGCCTTCCTGCTCCTCTGATGCTGCTTGGCCTGCTGTGTTCATCCAGCTCTACACCTTGTTATCTCAGATTCTCCAGCATCTGCAGTTCCTACAATCTCTGAAACAATAAAGGAGTTGCTCTGTTTCAAAAGAATAATTTGTCTCATCTGATGGATTGTCACTCAGTGTAAAGGCCTAAGGTCATCACATGTTTTCTTTTTAGAATTATAGGACCTCACTCAAATCCCCTTTACAGTTTGAGTTAAAATTAGGCTATGATGTCTGACATTACTGTCATGAAATATACTTCTGTTGGTCATCATGAAAATTAAAGCCTCCAAGTGATGCTAGTAAATTATCAAACTCAATTCTGAAAAATAAAAAGTGTTGATAACATTAAACCGACACATTCCTCTGAAAATTTTAAAGGCACATCAGAATATTTCCAACAAAAGTGATGTAAAATCAATGTTGTCATTTATTTCAAGATTACTATATAAATCAAGGCCCATTATGATATTTATAATTCAACAATCAGTATCAGAATCTTTTTCATACGTGGTAGAAAGTATATATTTTGAAATCTGCACCACACATTTTATAATTAATAGAATGCTACAGTCACAATGATCACTTAAATAGCAGAAAAAGCTATAATTCATCCAAAGTTACAGCGTTTCTTTTTATGTATTTGCTTTTTTTCAAATCAGGCATTATAATTTAATTTTCTGTACTGCAATTTAAAATTTTTATAAAGTACACATTATCACTGAACATCGACATTTACATATTATTGGGATTATAACACAACATATTGAGCTTAATATTCTCATCCCAGTGACGGAGCAGGAGGAAAAGTTGTCGAGTTGCTCCCTTCAGTCCATTGACAGTTTGATGTTCAGGAAGCTGCTGTGAGTGCAGCCATGTGTCTGCCTTGGCAGCAATGAGCTCCCATTCCAGAAAGTACCCAGCACACTGATGTTCAAGCCATCCCAGTGCCACAGCAGTTGCCCAGCTCATCCCTTCCAAATCGTAGCACTGTGTATTCAGATCACTTGCTGACTCGTAAAAGGCACCACTGGTTTCTGAGGTGACAGGTGAGTTTTCATATAGATCTGTTTCAGAGCCCCTGCCACTATCAACTTGCTGAAGGCTGGTGCTCAGACCATCAGTACTGGCACTGAATGAATTGTGGAGGCTTGCTGGAGAATTATTACAATCTAAAACACCTTCATGGTGTGACCATGTAATTTTCTTTAAAATTTCTCTATTTCCTTCATTTTCAGACAGTGAATGCATGTTCTTACTAGCACTACATTCTGTCTCATTTTGACAGTGGATGGAGACCTCCATTCTGAGGGAAGTTTCAGTTTTGCTGCTCGATGTATGTGACGACACACATCGTGAAGTTGGGCTGAGACTTGCTCGATGACATGGGAATGGTGAAGCTCTTCTCAGTCGATCCAGGGGAATCTGAACAGCTTCAGAAAAGGCTTCATTGAGGAGAAATGCTCCAGATGCCAATTGTAATTGCACCTGAAATAAGAAAATCCAAATTAACACTATTCTTTTGCATAAGTATTGTTTTTCTATGCAGCCCTCCTAAGCACACGTGTAGCAAGCAAGCAAAGAACTAATTTGTGTGTAATTGAACCTTTGAAATGTTAACCTTTGAGAGATGAAGCAATAAAAACACATTAAGCAAAATTTAAATTCTTTCATAGAAAAGGGGAGCCATTTATCACATACGTTCAAGAAAACCCTTAACTTGGTCCAAATCCTAAATTCTATCACAGAAATTTCCCAAACTTGTACTGTTTTCACTTCACAGATGCAGCCAGATCTGTTGAGCTTTTCCAGCAATTTCTGTTTTTATTTCTGATTTCCAGCATCTGCAGTTCTTTCTTTTATCCTAAATTCCATCCATGAGCGTTGCAAAGTCATTTGTTTGGGAATTGCTACTCCTGTCTTTAAATTCCCCTAATCAATCTGTTCAAAAGGGTCTGTCTCAAAGTCTATTCACAAGCAGTGTTCTAAGAATAAACACCAAAAAGCACTTCATACATTACATAGAATTTTCTGTAAATGCAGTGTATACATTTCCCATGTGGCAAATATTTTGAAGAGTGTTATCAAAATCACTTGAGCAGTTATATAGAGATTGATTATTATAGAGTTGCTTGTATAATTTTGTGCTCAACGATCAATTGACAGACACATTCATCCTACAAGAATATCATCAATAGAAGAACATTTGATTATCAAGCCAGTTTGACTTCCTGGAATTTTCACTTGACTGTCTTCAGTGATCATGGAAAAATATCAGTTTTATTTGGGTTAATTATCTGTGTATTGAATAAGAAACAATAAAATCCATGCTAAGGCAAATTTGTGTGTTTTCTGTTGTATGAAGTAGGAATCATTCTGATTGTTCTTGTGTCATTATGAAATAGACTTCAATCAGCAATGATGCTTATGTGCAGTGGTAATACAACAGCATATGTTAATATTTGCTTTTGCAGCAAATACCCATGTTAAGCTCAAATAAATTTTGTTACTTTAGTTCATAGAAGTTAATCAAAGTAAAATGTTCGCAGTTTTTCTTACCAGTGGCAGATAATCATTAATCACTTCTTCAGGAGAGGTGTCCAGCTTGGTAGACAAACAGTTGGGTTTTATTGGTATGTACTTCCCTGTCTGACTAGGGCTTCTGTATCTTCCCAGGTTAAATCTTACAAAGTGAGAAAAAAAAATAAAGGTGGGTTGGCAAGTTGAGTGAATCAGTGAAAGATTCATATTACAGAAGCGGAACATTCTAAAGTACAGCCAGGGTGTTTTAGCTTTAATCCTCTGGTGCATGTGTGTTTTTTTTGATAAAACCAAAACAATTGAGTTAATAATGCCTAAACATATTTATAACACAATGTGCAGTCTTGTCCATCTACTTGGTTGATCATTCCACTGACAGAAAAATAATTATTCTCGTCACAAAGGAGGTGCTATGGTTAGGGCCTGTTTTAATACATCCATTTGAGTATTTTTAATATCGTCAGTGGAATGGCACAGAGTAATTCTCATTGACGTGCTATTTTATCCAGATGGAAATAATTCTGTATTCCAGTTTGTGTAAAAACATTTGACAGTTGTTGTGATTATACTCAGTTAAGAATCAATTAAGTCAGGATACCTGGATCCAAAGAAACTTTCAAATGATTTTTGTGATCGTACCGAGACTGTTGATGGGCTCTGTGCATTACCTGGAAAAATGCAGAAACTGCTGTTATTTTGGACTAAAGTCAAACTGAGAATCAAGTTAAATGTCAGTAACTGAGATTTGTAGGTTTTATATTCTTATCCAATGTAGAAAAGATGCTTTCCAATAATATTGCATAGAATAATATATTAACTGGTTGCACTCAAAACAAAATATGATCCTAATAATGCAAATCCTCCTTGAAATTATAACATTTTAGATTTAAATTAATAATCCACTTTATTAGCCATATGCCTATGTCAAGCTGTCACCACACAAATGTCTGTGAAATCATTTGTGATTCAAATGTAGTTCAAGTATCAGGCAGTACATTCTTTGGCTCAAAAATAGAGATTTGTAACTGATTTGAGTCTTGAACACTACGTATAGTTTGTTTCCCTGCCCTAATTATTGATACTTAAATAAAATATATCGGGATGAATGCTAACATAATTTGACAATTTTGTCTGCTGTAATTTTAATGTTTGTGTAAGCTTCTTAGTTTGGGTGAACTGAATCTGATGTTCATTTCAGAAACAGACAGTTCGAGGAGGAGGGAGATAGAGCATAGATAGAGTCATAGAGATCTGCAGAACAGAAGAAGGTCATTGGGCCCAGCAAGTCTGCACCAGTCAAAGACAACCACCTAACTATTCTAATTCCATTTTCCAGCATTTGGCTCATAGCCTTGTATACTTTGGCATCACAAGTGCACACCTAAATGTTTCTTAAATGTTATGAGGGTTTCCGCCCCTTCCACCCTCACTGCCAGTGATTTCCAGATTCGTACCACCCTGTGGGTGAAGGAGTGTTTGCTCGCATCCCTTCTAAACCTTTGGCCTCTTACCTTAAATCTATGCCCTCTGGTCGTTGATCTCTCTATCAAGGGGAAAAGTTTCTTCCTGTCTCCTCTAACTATGTCCCTCATAATTTTATACACTTGAATCATGTTGCCTCTCAAACTCCTCTTCGTTAATTAAACTCTCTAGTTCAGGCAACATCCTATTGAATCTCCTCTGCACCCTCGCCAATGCTATCAAGTCCCTCCTATAATGTGGATTCCAGAATTGCACACAATATTTTAGCTGTGGCCCAGCCAATGTTTTATACCATTTCACTATAACTTCCCTGCACTTAAACTCTAAGCCTCAGCGAATAAAGGCGAGTATCCCATGTGCTTTCTTAACTGCTTTTTCCACCTGTCCTACTACCTTTAGGGACTGGTGGACATGCACACCAAGGTCCCTTTCATCTTTGGTGCTTACTAGGGCCCCACTGTTCTTCATGTATTCCCTCACCTTGTTTGTCCTGTCCAAGTGCATCATCTCACACTTATCTGGATTGAGTTCCATTTACCACTGGACAGCCAATGTGACCAGTCCTTCTACATGCAGTCTAAGACTATCCTCCTCACAATTTACCACCTCACCAATTTTTGTATCATGTGTGAACTTGATTGATCAATCTCCTACTTTCAAGTCTGTATCATTTATATAAGCCACAAACACCAAGAGTCCCTAAACTGACCCCTGTGGGACCTCACTGGACACTGGCCTCCAGTCATAAAAACATCTCAACTATTACCCTCTGCTTTCTGCAACTCAGCCATTTGTGGATCCAAGGTGCCAAGTTTCCTTGGATTGCATGGGCACTTCCCTTTACTGTCAAAAGCCTTGTTGATGTCCAAGTAGACCACATTGAAAGCATTGTTCTCATGTACACACCTGGGTCTTCCCTTCAAACAATTCAGTCAGGTTGGTCAGACATGACCTCCCCTTAACAAAACCATGCTGACTATTCTTCGTTAATCCCTGCCTCTTCAAATGCAGAGTGATTTTTTTTAAAAATCGGCAGTTAAGCTAGAGAAAATTTATAAAAGATCCAGAAATTTGAACTTGGAATTCCCTGAAACACTAAAGCCTCTAAATAAATCCATAATCAAGTATGTCTAATTTTGTATAACTATACCAGAATTACAAAACCACGTTCAACCTGATAATATCAGATTGATCAAATGAGATTCAACAGTTTTGTTAAGGCAAGCAAATCTCTGATTAGCCTTGAAAGACTTCAATTATTAACTTGATGACAGACATTGTGCCTATAAATGGTGCGCCTTGGGTCGATCAAGCGGAGTTAGCATTAGCTTTATAGAAAAGAAAATTGCATTGCATTCACCTAGCCTACCATTAGAGGGTGATGTTGTGAAAAAGTTTAGGGTTTATAATTGATTACTTTTATAACACATAAAAATTGTAATGTGTAAATTTTACAGTTATGCATTATCCATGTGTACAATTCCAAAGTACCAATTTAAAACCAAAATACTCCAAATACTTTTATAGTATTAGTTTCATCAACAAGTGGCCCTAATTGATGACTGATCCACACAGTATTTGATCCTTTCATTTTTCAATATTTTAAGATATTATATGTTATCCCAAAATTGATATAAAGCTTCCCTGGTGCCCTAGTATATAGAACCAATCAGTCAAATGGAAGTGACACATACAGCTGCATATAGTAAGATCACCATATCCTGGCTAAAACAGAAAGAATTGAGTAATAACCACCACTGTAAGTGATTGATTGATTTTACATGCATTATTTATGTGGAACAATCCTCCAGACACCTCAATTAGCTGCTTTTAAAAACTCGTATTAAAAGCCCTGCTTTTAATAGGAGTTGCTGCTGGTCATTTTCTGTTCATTGCAGTTTGTAAAAACACTCTTTTTAAATAGCCTCTTCAGAATACATTAGAGTGTTGTTTAATCAGAGTCTGTTTAGTGAGTAAATAGATTTTGTTTGCTGAGTTCAGCTATAAATCTTGCTGCCTTTGAGTCAAACAAAATACTGCAGATGTTGAAAAACTGAAATAAAAATAGAAAATGCCAGCAATACCGAGCAAGTCAGGCAGCATTTGTGGAGAGGAACAAAGTTAAAGTGATGAAGAGTCATCAACTTGAAGCATTAAAGTTGTTGCCTGACTTGCTTGGTACTTCCAGCAGTTTCTGTTTTTACACCCTCTTTTAAGTCATTGACTGATACAGTGCTATCTGTGGACACTATGGAAACCAAAAGATCCCAATTTCAATGCATGCTGTACCACAGCTTAGCAGATTTCAGGTGAACAGCATTTTCTTTTTAATTTGTTCAGGGGATGTGGGTGTTACAGGTTGGGCCAGCATTTATTTCCCTTCCCTAATTGTTAAGAGTTGACCACATTGTTCTGGAGTCATACACGGGCCGAAAAGAATGGTAGATTTCCCTCTCTAAGGGTCATTAGGGAACCAGGTTGGTTTTATGACAATCAACATAATTATCATTGCACTAGCTTTTAATTCCAGATTTTGATTGAATTAAATTTTCACCATCTCCCATGCTGGGGTTTGAACCCATATTCCCTAGAACATTAGCTTGGGAATGATTAACCTAATGACTATACCACCGCACAGCCTATGCATCTGTGCTGCAGAGAGAGAAACATCAGCCAACAATCTCAATAATCATCATATCCATTCACCCCTGTATTATGCAAATTCAGATTGTCTGTGGTATTGTCCAGATTCACACATGTAGAATGGCCAGCAAGGTGAAATACTGGAAAGAGTATATCTTCATTAAGGTCAGTATTTTCACCAGAGAAAATCTGAAGAGGAAAGGGAGAATATTGACAACAATGTTCTTTTTTAAAAAGGTACAAGTACCCAATGCACATGCTCCATACAAACCCATTTTACCTTCTGCAAGTACCTCCTTAAATGATTACTGCTTCAGTGCAGCACATTCTTTATTTTCATTAATAAAATGCTTTTATGAAATACCAATTAATTTAATTGTAAAAATACAAATGCTTGACCACATAGAAATATGTGAAACGTATCAATCAAAACAGTTCAATATGATGCAGATCTGGAGATTGTAAACTGGGAGACAATTACCATTTCTTCCCTGTTTCAGATGCTAAATCCTGACCTCACATCTCTTTGGATGGGCTGTTTCCCTATGACAAGTTCTGCAAATTTCTTTCTAGACCCCAGTGCTTTTTTAAAAAAACACATCAAGTTTTTACATTTTTAAATATGGATATATGTATCTTGGCTTCCTCAAAAGAGTCTTAGACTGTGCTTGCTACAAGTGTGTCTGAGCTTTCCTGTGCCAGATAGTAATTATGTCATTTGTTGATCAACTACAATATGCAAACCAGTGATTGTTTGCAACATGCTAGAGGTGGAACTTGCAGCGAGGTTGTAGAAATGACAGCACTACTCAACGAGCTGACACAATTCCAGATGAGAAAATAAAAAAAAACCTCTTCAGTGTCGTGCAAAGTTAAAATTATAAAGCAATGCAGTAGGTTAGGCCCTTAACCAAGGTACACCTCACCGTGAGGAAAAATGTTTTTATGCAATGTGTGGTTAGGATCTGGAATGCACTTTCTTAGAGTCTGGTGGAGGCAGAAAAAAAGATTGAAGGGCCAAGGGCAAAGGCAGGGGAGATGGTCAAGGTGAATTTATGTTGCAGCAGGTGGACATAGAAATAACAACCCAATGGTTTCCACTCTGTAACCATTCTATGATTCTTAACAGCTGTGTGTTTTCTTCAGTTACCACCTCCGTCACTTCCTCAACCGCAATGAATGACTCTCACTGACTCCCTCTTAAATTCATTAAAATTCTTAGAAGAATCTATAACCAGGATGGTGCCTGGCTCAACTATCAAGGAAGGCTCAGACAGTTGAGTTAAGCCTTACAGTGCACAGCTACTTCACTCCTCTATAAACAAAAAAAAGCACAGAATGACTGCATAGGCATTATCGTGCATGTCAGTGCATTGAAATTACATGTATATTTTATGGAAATGCAAAGAAACTAATCTAATCTTGACAAAATATAATTCATTGCTGCATCGAAGTATATACTTGCACAACCAGGATCACTGTTCTCTCCAAACACTTCAGCCTCCAAGTCAATGATTTCCATGACGACCTCCTCACAGTGGGAATTAGCTGTGTCTTCATTAGCAAAGAAAAGAACAGTGTATTGTTTGAGTACATTTTTCAGATAGAAAGGGCTACAGCAATGCATTGGTCACAGAGCAAAATGCACTGTCATTGAAACCACACATTGTGGAAGCAGGCCATTCAGCCCTTAACAGTCCTCCAAAGAGTAGCCGACCCAGACCCAAACCATCCTCGTAACCCTGCAGTTCCCCCAGCTGATCCACCTAACTTGTACATCTTTGGACTGTGGGAGGAAACTGGAGAAACCAGAGGAAATCTACACAGACACAGGGAGAATGTGCAAACTCCACACAGACAGTTACCTAAGAGTGGAATTGAACTTAGGTCCCTGTGATGTAGCAGTACTAACCACTGAGCCACCATGCTACCCCTGGTATCTGACTAGGTGAAATTCAGAAAGCAGCATTCAGATATGTCCAAAGGTCCAAAACAACAGTAACATTGGACTCTGCTTTTAAGTTTGTTTCTCAGTACACACATGCTGCCAGACCTGCTGCGTTTCTCCAGACTTTCTGTTTTTATGTTAGAAATGTCAGAGTGAGCAATAAAGTGACTTGCCAATTCTCTCCCATTGTTATATAAGGGCCTGATAGTCAGTTAGCTTACATTGCTGTGAATGGCTGCGCACGGAATTGTAGCTGCCAACCATGTTTCTTGAAAGCAGCTTTAAAAAGGAATGATATTAACCTGAATTTATCTGGTGATTTTCTGCAAGTCGAGAACAGAGGAGACAATAAAAAAAAATTCAGGAGTATTCAAATAGAATACAGCTAGAAAATGCAGTCATGAAGTTGCAATTGCAAAACACTTTTTGCTGACTGTTCTTAATACATGCTCTTCTTGACCCACATTTCTGTCCTACCATCCATGATAATATGAAGGTCCTGTTTCATGGAACAGGGTCTCTAGATTTCTACATTATTTCCACAATCTCTCATAATTTAAACATTCCACACTTTTCTTGATACACTGTGGAGATATTACAAGCCAATGAGATGCGAAAATGATGATTATTCAGAAGCAAAGTAAATTAACTGTGCATTTAAACTATGCACCTGTTCTTCAAACATGTTTAAGTTAAGGTGAACTTGCAAGAATGCAGTAAAGATGGGATAAAATGGATTCTCAATTAATTCACCAAGTCTGATAAGCAGCTCATTAGATTCTGATATTCTGGTTTCTCAGTATAGGTGAGATTCATAACTTTCTGATATTCAAAATCAGATGCTTTGTCATAAACTGGACACATCTCCCCAGGGGTTAATCTGATTGTCTGCTGTAACTTCAGAAAAGTTATAGAAATCCTAGACAAATTGTCTTTTGGAGACCAGCCACCTTTTCGGCTATTCAGATTGACTTTGCCTAGTACCATTTAAGACTGTGGCAAAGTCCTGTATGAATGTTTCACCTCTTCACCAGCTAGGAGCACCCAACTGCATCATAAATTTTACAAGCACCTAGTTGATTCATATAAATGCACCAGGTCACAAATGTGCTGACAGGGTGCAACGTGCCAGCAGGCAAAAGTCCTATGTGTTGTTAGAGTGATAGACTGGGATTCTGTGTTTAAACCACTCCTGCTTATAAGCATCTTAAGCAGGTTTGTTTCATTTCTATATCGTCAAGCAGCTGTATCTTTTTTGTTAGATTGGTTTCAAAACCCATATTTCCATCAAAACTGTCTTGCCAGCCAAGTGAAGCAATCTTTAAAAATGAACAGGACAAAGTACATGCATTGCACCAAAATAATCATTTTTAAGAATGAATTCATGGATGGATGGGGGTGCCAATGCATGCACAGAATTTCTGTAGCTGTTGCTATATCAAACTTGCATTGGGTTACTGGGCAGGTGACAAAACAGGCATCTCAAAAAACTGTGAATCCCAGAAATGGAATTGAATAATCTCCTGCTTTATTCATTCATAGGATGAGGGTGTTGCTGGCTAGGCAGCATTTATTGCCCATCCCTAATTGCCCAGAGGGCAGTTGAGAGTCAACCACATTGCTGTGGGTCTGGAGTCACATGTAGGCCAGACCAGGTGAGGTTGGCAGTTTCCTTTCCTAAAGGACATTAGTGAACCAGCTGGGTTTTTCCGACAATTGACAATGGATTCATGGTCATCATTAGATTCTTAATTCCAGGCATTTATTGAATTCAAATTCCACTACCTGCCATGGTGGGAAGGCAGAAGGTCTGCAATACATGGAGGCAGGCAGCTAACAATACTATAAAGCCATCATTAAACAATTTATTAGCAATCTCCATCCTTCTTAACTTGATTCCTTAGTATGGTTAATCTGAGGTGACAAAATGTTAAATACAATACAGGAAAAACTTGCATTTCTAGAATACCTTTCACAATCAGAGACATTCCAAAGCACGTTACAGCCAATGGTGTAATCTTTGAAGTGTAGCCACTGTTATTATGTAGAAACAGCAAATCATTATATAAATAAAAGCAATTGCTGAACAATTGGAATATAAGTATTTTCTAGAGATGTTATAACAGACCTCCAGACCAGGTAGGACTTGAACCCAGATTGCTTTGCTCAGAAGTAGTGACACTTAATACCAGTGTACCACAAGAACATTAACAATGGTAATAGATATTTTCTAATCAACCTGTTCAGGGATGTTATTACCCATCTCTAGAGCAGGTGGGACTTGAACCCAGGCCTCCTGACTCAAAGATAAGACACCGCGTGAGCCCTAAAATTGGTAATATAAAGTAGAAGCATTATGTGAATGAAGCAAAATTGTGTTAATCCCATTAATTGCTATTTAGTAAGGATTTAATGAACCAATAATACCTTAACACACCTTCAGTGTGACAAAAGCCCTTACATTGATTTACACCCAGGTGTAATTTTAACGGTCTGGGCAATATTTTCAGACATTCCATATCACACAATCGGCAGCAGAAGCTCTAAAGCACATAAAATATTTTCACCCCAGGTAGTAATTTCCTTCAATTTAGACACAACTGTGCCTGAAGACAAAACCCACATTGTAGCCTGGCTGTCTAGCAAAAGGAACAGTCCATTTTTATTTCAATTGATTTTCATACAAACAACAATTTGGTGATTTGCATTTGGGTAGATTATTCACAATCGGAGTTTTGCAACTGAGTGGCAAGTTGAAAATTTAATCTGTTATCTTGTGCTATTTTTAACATGCTAAAGGTACATTCTCAGAAGCACACTTCAATAATACTGTTGCAAAAACAGAAAATGTTAGAAGTACTGTCCTCTGCACATTTGGTAGCGTCTGTGGAGAGACAAACAAAGTGAGGTCATTGATTTGAAATACTTAAGTCTGTCTCTCCACAGACCTGCTGCCAGACCTGCTCAGAATTTTATGTTTTTATTTCAAATTTTCAACATCCACAGTATTTTGTTTCAATAATGTTGTTACCAGATGTACTTAGTATGTGCTATAAGAAAAAGCAGTTAAGCTGAATTTCATCAAAGTATGATACTCCTTTAATGTAATAGACTTTCACCATCTCCGACACCCAATGTAAAAACAATAACAGCAATTCTATTACAGAATATCAGAATGTTCCTTCAGAACACAACTGAGCTGAAGAAGTATAGAAGGATAAACTCAGTTATACTATTTGCTGTTTTGCCCCAGTTTGGGAAAATGTAGAATGATCATTTTATATGACCACCTTAAAATATCAAGGTTGATTATCTAATTTAGAGGCATTCCTTTCATGTCAGTATTTTCCGAGTATGTGCTGTTGATGAGGAATTTCATTGAGCAGCCAGTACATATTAGTAAATCATCGATTGTGAGCACATACTCTGAAAGCTATTCCCACTGTATCAATGTTATAATTTAAACCATTGTTTTGATTTCACTTCTACGGGTTGAAAAGCTGTTAGATGGAGTCTGTAAGATGATGCTTTATTCTATACTTTGTGCGAACCTTGCTGCTAGCATTATTAAGTAGGAGATAGCAAAAACTGCAGATGCTGGAAGTCAGAGTTGGTACCATGTGGAGCTGGAGGAACACAGCAGGTCAGGCAGCATCAGAGGAGCAGGAAAGTCAACGTTTTGGGTCGAGGGCCCTTCATCAGGACTGGGGAGGGGGAAGGGAGCTCAGAACTAAATGGGGTGTGGGGCTAGGTGAAGTTAGGTGGGGTGGTGAAAGGTCGATGCAGGTAGGGGGTTGCAGAAATTGGTCAAAGGGAAGGGTGGGGCAGAAAGGTGAGAAGGAAGATGGACAGGGTGTTTGCACATGCACTTTTAGAGGCTGTTTTGGCACCACTCTTCTTGATGTCCAACACTCTTGGTTTCATCTTTATCCTGGAGTAAGACTCTCTCACTTTCTTCAGTACTGTCAATTTTTTATTGATATTTATATGACAGGTGATGAAACACAACTCTCTGGCGTTAAGAGATCTCTTTTCACGTCCTTCTTCTCACCTCTCTGTTGCATCATCACCATGTATATATTCTATAATATTACAGCTCAGTTTCTGAATGCCGTTCTAAGTAAATGTATTTTAAACACTGATAAATTTGTTCTTTCTTCACCTATTGGTGGGCTTTTAGTAAATCCTCAAACAAGTTCAAGGGAAGAACTTGGCTCTCACTAGGACAACATTGATCAGATAATCAAAATAGTAGTTATATTTACAGTTGGACCTATTTGCCTTGATTTGCCAATTTTGTTTTTATTCACTCATGGGATTTGGGCATTGCTGGCTGGCCAGCTTTTATTGCCCATCCCTATTTGCCCTTGAGAAGATGGTGGTCAGCTGACTTTTTGAATTACTGCAGTCCAAGTGCTCTAGATTGCCCTATGATGTTCTTAGAGAAGGAATTCCATGATTTTGAACCCAGTAACAGTGAAGGATTGGCAATATATTTCCAAATTAAGATGGTTAGTAGTTTGGAGGGGAACTTGCAGGTGGTAGTCTTCCCATGTATTTCCTGCCCTTGTCCTTCTAGATGGGTGTGGTCGTGGGTT